TTCACCTTAATAGTGAGTACGTCTGTTCCAAACAATCAACACAGTTCACCTTAATAGTGAGTACGTCTGTTCCAAACAATCAACACAGTTCACCTTAATAGTGAGTACGTCTGTTCCAAACAATCAACACAGTTCACCTTAATAGTGAGTACGTCTGTTCCAAACAATCAACACAGTTCACCTTAATAGTGAATATGTCTGTTCCAAACAATCAACACAGTTCACCTTAATAGTGAATATGTCCGTTCCAAACAAGCAACACAGTTCACCTTAATAGTGAGTACGTCTGTTCCAAACAATCAACACAGTTCACCTTAATAGTGAGTACGTCTGTTCCAAACAATCAACACAGTTCACCTGAATAGTGAGTACGTGTGTTCCAAAAAATGAACACGTCTCTTCAACTGCATATTCTTAAATTTATTTGAGTAAAGTTTCTAATATCATTTACCCAGCCGTTTTCTTACATGGTGGACGAGGTAGACGAGAAATCCGTCTATGAAGTGTGTCTCAGGTGAATTTTACGGAACCTATGTTTTAGAAAAAAAAAGGCTCGTATTAATTAATAAGTGTTGAGAATGCATGCGCGGTGAGCACAAGCAATAATGCCCACCGAAATTAAATCAAGACCCTTGGAGACAGGAAATACCTAAATGGTTAGTAGAATCCCTCTTCTCTGAAAGTAACATCCAAGATTACTTAGTGTAATGGTATGCAGAGCTTCGTTATCCTATGAAAATGTCACCATATCTAAGCCTATCACGTAGAGCTGCCGTGTAACTGACATAAAGCTCTTATATGCGTCTTTAATATGAGAACAGCCATCATGAAAATATAAATGGCATTTCTCACAGCTTTCAGTATGGTTAATACAATGAAGGCATTTCTCACAGCTTTCATTGTATTAACCATACTAAAAGCTGTGAGAAATGCCTTCATTGTATTAACCATACGAAGGCATTTCTCACAGCTTTTAGTATGGTTAATACAACGAAGGCATTTCTCACAGTTTTTAGTATGGTTAATACAGTGAAGGCATTTCTCACAGCTTTTAGTCTTCTACTTTCTAACTGTGGTAAAAAGTACATAAACGTTTATTCAATTTGAAATATGAACAACATGCGTATTCTCCGAGAGAAAATACATGTAGGAATTCAAATCCAATTGTTACACTCTACTAAAAAGTTCGTTGTGTGTACTGATTACATTATAGGGCAGTTTGAATTTCCCGAATTTCATCTTTGGTAAATATAACTGATTTCCTTTGGATGCAACTAAAACAAATTATAAAGTCTTAGAGCTTTTAAGTTTCTTTCACTGTCTTATACTCGAGCAATTCGACGTTTGCGTGTTTGTTGGTAAATCTAATTTAGAAAAAAGGAAAGAAATATATTGAATTTGATAATAATAAAAAACAAATATTATGTTGAATCTTCTTTTAAAAATATTATCGAATTTGATTAAAACAAAAATTATATATAAATCTCTGTAGTACAGACAGATATTTTGTGTGGTTTACATTGTTTTTCTTCATATCATTTTAATACAATACCTATTTACCATAAAGCTAAAAAATAAGATATAATCGTTTTG